CACCCCTAAAAAAAAAAAAAAAAAAAGAATACCATACATAGTTTTGCTTTAGATACAATTTTAAGAACTATTGGGTTGTAGGAAAAGTCGAGATGTATTTTTTTTCAATGTTTTTCTACACAAAAACATACCATGACTTCCAACAACCCAATATGTTCCTATCTATAATCTGGTACTTTCTTGTTAACAGTTATTGACAGTAAATATCAGTTACCCTAAATTTTCTTTTTGTGAATTTAAGTTGCAAATAACTGTAATCCCAATTTCTTTTTTTTCCTCAAATTAAAAATTAGTGCCCAAACACAAGTTAGGTCCCTGGAAGTAGCAGTTCTATCGGGCTTCAGAAAGATTGATATGAGTCACTCGTCTTCATTTACTTTTAATGTGGTAGATTTAAAGAGCAAACCTGGTGTCCGTGACTTTAGAATCACTGCTGTTTGTCCCACCTGGAGCTCACTAGTGACAGCTTTATTCTGAATCGGCTTTTCTTTTCATCAGGTGACTTTGATATTAATATATGATTGAGTTCATTCTCAGCTACCATGATTAATTTCTAGTTTTGTCTAAAACAAATATTTTAGAGGAACTTTCCCTAAAACCATTAAAAGTTTTTAAAACGTTTAATGTTCAAGCATTGGGACCATTTTATGACTGTCTGTGTTATTATTTTTTCCTATTGGGTGTTAAGTCAAATACTAGTAACTTTTTTCCATAGTCTACTAGAAAAAAAAAATCCAATATCAAATAAAGCAGTGATTTCCTTCCAGAACTCTCCAAGGAGATTAAATGAGATTATTTCTGCCAAAAAGGCCAGTTCAGATGAATGGCAGCTTTGGGGCTAGCTACGCCTGGCAAAACCCTACGTCAGTTTTGTCTCCACAGCTGTAAACCATGCTTTATGCACACACAATTTCACTTTCTAAGTTCTTGGATTCAGCTGCATATGATGTCATTTTTCCGGTTACTTGTAGCTTTCAGACCACTCACATAGAGAAGGCCATCTTTTTGACCCCAATTTAGAGGTGGGAAGTCTGAATGAAACACTTAGCTTAGTAGCTAGTTGAAGGTCTCACAACGAAAATCAGTGAGAGTCTTTCTCTGGTTTTGTCTTCAAATTTAGGGGCAAGTGTTCCTTGATGTGTATTTTCAGTCCTCCCTTTGTTGCTTATCCAATGTACCTTGCCACTCTGACACCCTAGCATTTTAATTCAAGTGCCTCTTTGGTTTCCTTGTTTTTAATGAACCCATATTAATAGATTTGATGCATCGGGGACTTGGATGGGCATATCTTAAAGTAAAATTTAAAAAATAAACCTTATTGTTCCTTCAGTCTTGGAGGTGGAACATTCCTAGGCCTATGTTGCTTGCTGACTGGTTGTGAGACCTTTGAAGAAGCTCTGGAAATGGCAGCTAAAGGCGACAGCACCAATGTTGATAAGCTGGTGAAGGACATTTACGGAGGAGACTATGAACGATTTGGCCTTCAAGGATCTGCCGTAGCATCCAGGTAGAGACCAAGTAGCTAGGAGCAGTAGGGATTAAGCACAAGCCAGTCTCTCCACCCAGGCCATTTATTTAGCCATCTCTTTTAATAACGCACCAGCCTGGTGCAAATATCCATTGTACTGGAACCCGCCCTTGATGAAGCACTGAGATGTTGAGCTCTTGATGCTTGTCCTTAAAATAAGGCAACTTTGAAAGAAGGTTCTGGAAAACTGCAACAGTTTCCCCTGTTCCATTCTTGTGTCCAGTTATCTAGGAGCATTGACATTCCCACCTCCCCATTAATAGCCATGCTACTTTGACCCTAATTACGAAGAGGGCCACCAGCCATTCATACTGTAATCCTGTCTGCTTTTAAACCATGATAGCAAAATCAGGTCTTCTGAGTTTGAGCAGAGTTATTCATAGAGCTTTCCATAGTTCCTTGGTGGAAGCATGGTCCCTGCCTGAAGATGATTTTGAACACTCTCGCTAATATTTCCAACATAGCTTCGGCAACATGATGAGTAAAGAAAAGCGAGATTCCATCAGCAAGGAAGACCTCGCCCGGGCCACACTAGTCACCATCACCAACAACATTGGCTCCATTGCTCGGATGTGTGCACTGAATGAGGTAAGGCCTTACTTAACCAGAGAAAGCCATGAATCATGAACAAATTGTCTTTGGCCCTACAGTAACTGTAGACTTTTACAAAGCCACATACCCTTGGGGAACCTACCCTGCATCATAGTCACACCTTGCAGTGTACCAGGCAGGTGCATTAGGGGTGGGAGAGGACTATGTGTTTTATTTTTAAGTAAGCACTGGATGAGAACAAATGATAAACTATCTCACCGTGGAAACGCGGTAAAATTATAGCCCATGCCATAGCCTCTGTAACCGTTGTCATATACCCACTGAAATGTAAGGAAGAGCATCCTTGCAAGTAATTGCACATAAAATGTTTCACTTGCAATATTCGATATTCTCTCTGCTTTCAGCTTCTTTACAGTGTTGCCTTGTGGCATGGAGTTCAAGCAGCATTGTACAGGGCTATCAAAGCACAGAGAGCTTGCTGCAGCTGAGGCCAGCCAGAGCCCCAGGCACAAGAAGGGGCGGAGCTGGTGACAGACCAAGCTTTGTTAAAATGTTTCACAACATTGCAAAATACCTTTGGGAAAAAAATGGAATTCTGAAACACAGGATTTGAAAAGTAGTTCAAATCTCTTCAACTGAAATGTGTTAGCAAGACGAGAAAGTTAAGACTGAGAATAGGTCATGGGAGTGAAAGGTTTTTACCGGAGTGTTACGGAAACGGCGACCCCAATCAACCACAAAAGTCGGTTCTTGATGTAAAATACAAGAGGCTTTATTGCTAGCGCGTTAGGACTCCACTCCCAGTCATACAAGACATGGCTAAGAGTGAAGTCCCGAACATAGGAGAATTCAGGTTATATAGATATGAGTCCGTGGGGTGAGGGGAGGAAGCAAGATAAGGGGTTTCAAGGGTAATCTTATGGCGACCATTTGGTCAGGCTTGCAGGAGCATTTGATCTGGGTTTCCGGGGCTAGCAGAAGGGAGGAATTTTACATTACAAAGGTCCGGGCTAGCTTGCCAGACTAGCTTGCAAATGGCTCCCGGCTCCCTGCAAGGTGTTAACAAATTACCCCAGGTTTCCACAACTTCAGCAGCATCTGCTTTAGTACAGAAACAAAAGAGGCAAAGGTTAGACTTTATTTTTGTAAGACAGGCTAATCTAATTTTATTCTTACAAGGTGAGTCATCCCTCGATGTTCCTTGCCCAGGGGTCAAAAGATGGGAGTGGGGTGCAGTAGGAATGAGTGCGTTCCTATGTGGTAATCAGATGAGAGGAATTTACAAATAAAAAAAGAGGGGAATAGAAGAGAAAAAGAAAGGGGAAAAAATGTACCTCCTGGAAGAGGGGTGTCTGGCTTGGGGGTCCAGGTGCTGAAGTTAAGGGGCCAGTCCTCCTTCCAAGTTTCCAACCAAAGGGTC